GAGGGCCTGGGAACAAAAGCGGTCAAGATCTCCTCCTCGGAGATCCCGACGACGATATTCCCCCAACATATCTCCACTAAGGCGTAGCCTTCCACCAAACAAGGAGAAGCGCAATGTTTCTTTCTTCAAGAAATGCAACCGCTCACCTCCCCCAAAAGACCAAGAATTTTTGTCGTCCAAAAGAAAGAAAGACAGCCGCGAAGCCGACCGCTGTCGATCACCATCGCCTAAGATGAGGCAGCAGCGGAGGAGGAGTCCTTCCCTCCGTTGGGACCACGACACCCGACGGGGATGGAATTATCACTCCTCTTCCCCGTTTCTTGTAGATAGCGACAACGATAAACCTCGCAGACTATTGTCGAGGGAAATTACAAAATCACCTCTCCCGATCGGACTAGAGAAACCACCCCCTTTGGGGACGTATGAAGGGACGATGGATCCCGACGAACATATTGAGAACATCGACGCTCTCCTCGACTATCGAGGGGTCAGAGGAGCCATCAAATGCAGGTTGTTCCCGACCAAACTCAGGAAGGGAGCTATGTCCTGGTACAAGAGCCTCCCTGATGAATCCATCACCTCCTAGAAGCAGCTTGGGAGGATGTTCTCGAGGCACTTCACAGCCTCACGTCGACACCCAAAGTCAGAAGCTTCGCTCGAAGCGATCATCCAATACAAGGATGAAGCTCTATGGGCGTACACCAAGCACTTCAACCAGAAAGAAGTACATGTCTCTACGGCTGATAACACGAATAAATACTTCTTTGACCGCGGGCTCATCCCCGCAGCAACTTCGTCAAGGAGGTAGGTTGCGAGACACCGACAATTCTTGACTTCCTCCTCCTCAAAGCTCAAGAGTAAATACAGTACGAGGAGAAGGAAGCCTCCAACAACGCTCTGGAAAAAAGGCACAGAGAGAGTGTCAAACCCTCGAGAAATGATGAACCCTTGACTTCTTGTCGAGGAGAGAATAAACGAGAAGAAAAATCCCAGGACCAAAAGGACTACAAGGGACCCGCTGGGAGGTTCCACGACTCACCCCTCTGACTACTTCAAGGGAGCGTATTCTATATGAATGCGCAAATTCTGGGGTGCGCTTTCCCTGATAAATGCCCTTAAAACTAGGAACAAACAAAAGAAAATATTGCAGGTTCCACAAAAGCCAGAAACACAATACTGAAGATTGCATCCATCTCAAAGATGCAATTAAAATATTGATTCGATACGGGTACCTCAAACAATATAAGAAGAAAGAGGCCGCCCGTGAAGAGGCTCCAGAATCCAAAAATATAAAAGAAGGGAAGGAGTCCCCTGACATTAATGCCATATCGGTCGCCATGAGCATCACGGGGCCAGAAGACTTCTACCTCCCAGACATGGAGGGGGTTCCTTTATACTTCTCCTCCCATAGTCTCTGGGAGTCGTTCCTCGCCGCTATGGTCATCTCCGGTGGGGGATTCAACAGGAACACGGTGAGATCTCTCAAAAGGAGATTCGACTAACTGATCGAGGCCAACTCCGACATGGATGCCACACTAGACAAATTTTGAGGAGGTTCTCACCCCTCGCATTCTACAGGGAAGAACTATCGGGCGGGCCCGCTAACTCGACCATCCCGCTTCTTATAAGGCCCGCATGGAAAATTTCAAGGTGAGGCGCATCCTGGTCGATAAGTGAAGCTTGGTAGACATTATGTACTCCCATCTATTCACTACTATATAGCTGAATGAGAGCCATCTGACTCCATATGTTGGATTAGATCTCTAGGGCTTCAATGGGGCCAGTACAAAACATGGGGATATGTCGAGCTAATCTTCACCTTCGGGAGAGGAGTGACGGCCAGAGCCATCAAGACCCAATTTCTGGTAATAGACTGCCCATCTATTTACCAGTGCATCTTTGGGAGACCAACTATCACTGAGCTTATCGCAGTGCCCTCCACCATGCACCTCAAGATGAAGTACTACACTTCTGACAGTTTGGTCGCCACCCTCCACGGGGACATCCAAGCGATGAGGATATGTTTCAAAGCCTCAACTAGAGGCCTCAGTTCCATCAATGTTCAGCCTCGAACGATCACTAGAGCCGCACTTCCCTCTAGCTATGAGGAAGCCAAGTCGCTACCAAGGGTTGACGCCATCAACCTCGATAATTGCTTCTCCAAAGAAGATCGTTCCGAACAGAGAAACAAAGGAAAATAACCCATCTGCTGGTAGCATGGAACTCTCATGGCCCATTCCAAATGGAGATTTCAAGCTCATCCCTTTCGGGAACGATCCCACCAGAGGAGTGAAGATATGAGCTGGCCTCCCTGACTTGGCGAAGAAGAAGCTCGAAGCCTGCCTAAGGGAGAATATCGACCTGTTCTCCTGGAGCGCGACCGAGATGCCCAAAATAGATCCAGAAATCCCATGCCATCACATGACCATGGATCCTGCCCTCAAGGCGGTCGCTCAGCGCAGAAGAAAACAATCCTTTGAAAAAACGGAGGCTGCTGAACTAGCTGTAAAGGACCTCCTAGAGGCACATTTTATTTCTGAAGCCCAGTATACAACCTGACTTTCAAATGTAATCCTTGTATATAAATCTAATGAAAACTGGCGCATATGCATTGATTATACTGATCTCAATCGGGCTTGCCCGAAAGATGCTTATCCCCTCCCCAATATTGACAAACTGGTCGACAACTCGATCGGTTTTAAATTACTTTCATTTATGGATGCATATTCTGGATACAACCATACTTCGATGGCAAAAACAGATAACAAATACATCACTTTCATGACCGAATCGGGCAACTATTACTACAACATAATGCCCTTTGGCCTGAAAAATGCAGGCGCTACACATCAGCGCATGATGAATAAAGTCTTTCGTAACAAGATAGGCTATATGCTCGAAGTCTATATAGACGACATGATCGTCAAATCCATGGAAGAGGTCGACCATTCCCTCCACTTAAAGAAAGTGTTCGAGCATGCCCAAAAATGTTGAATGCAGTTCAACCCGGGGAAATGAAACTTTGGGGTAGGAGCAGGCAAGTTCCTCAGATTCTACCTAACGGAACGAGGAATTGAGGCGAACCCCGACAAATGTCGAGCATTCTATGAATTTCCAACTCCCACTTCGAAAAAGTCCATTCAAATCCTGAATGGCATGCTCATTTCTCTCTCTCGATTCGTGGCAAAATCTGCCCAACATGCGCTCCCCCTCTTCAAACTCCTCCGCAAAGAGGCAGTTTTCGAATGGACGTCCGAATTCAAGCAAGCTCTTGTCCACTTGAAGAAGGAACTGTAACAGCCACCCGTCCTCTCCCGACCATAAAAAGATGAAATCCTCTATCTTTATCTGGCCATTTCCTCTGAGGCAGTGAGCGCAACGCTGACCAGAGAAACCCCGGAAGGATAAAGACCAATATATTTCACGAGAAAAGCCTTTCAAGGCCCTGAAATGAGATATCAGTGAATTGAGAAGGTGGCCCTAGCCCTTGTTAATACAACGAGGAGACTCAGGCATTACTTTTTGGCCCATACTATAGTCGTCTAAATAGACCAACTGATAAAATAGTTGCTCGGAAGACCTGACATGGTGGGGAGAATGTTGAATTGGTCCCTAGAACTATCGAATTAGATATCCAATATGAGAGCAAGAAAGCCCTCAAAGCTCAAGTATTGTCCGACTTCATGGCTGAAATGACTTCGCCCAGACCGTCGGATAGAGCTCGCAGGTGGATAATCTTCGTCAGTGGTGCCTCCAGTTCGACCGGGAGCGGCGCTGGTATCATATTGAAAAACGAAGAAGGAACCTTGGTCGAGGTCTCCCTTCTAAGTATCCTTCCCGACCTCTAACAAATAAGCCGAGTACGAGGCATTCCTTGCAGGCTTACGCCTGGCAGAAGATCTAGGAGCCGAGGAAGTTAAGATCTTCACCGATTCTCAGCTAGTGGTTGTTAGAACAAAATTTGAATCTACTACCCTAAGTTAAAGTTTTGATGATAACAAAATGCTATATTAAATAAATTGTATAATTCATATGAGACATATATGCTACCTAAAAATTATATTGTGCATTTACAGAAACTCTGATGGATATCAGCATAAGAGTATCAACATCAGCATCAGAAGATGACATATTATACATCAGCATCAGAAGATGAAATATCATATGCCAGCATCAGAAGATCAAAGCATGTGCTTACGCTGAAGCTTGATGAACATATATGCGCTTAACATACCCTAAACTCTGATCAAGACCAAAAAAATATCATCAGCACCTAGAAGCGTCAGAATAAGCCAAATCCAATAACACGCTGAATTGACAAAGGTATTGTGCATTCAAGACACTTTATTACCAACGTCTTTATTCCAAGACAAAGATCTTCTCAATATGGAAAGAACGTAATGGACATTGAAATGGAATAATTGACTACAACGTATCTTTTCCAAAGGCTATATAAACAAGTCAGTGAGAAATGAATTGGCTAATGCTCTACAACTCTTTACACGCCTAAAGCAAATCATCTTCATCCTCACTCATACAAATTGCTATATCTCTTAAATTGCTTACTCTATAGTTATAGCATCCTAGTTTCACATAAGCTTAATTTGTGTATTATCACAGTTGTGATATAAAGTTTTTGTAGAAAACATTCAACACTCATAGTATTCATTTATCTGTAAGAAAGAATTTCCTTGAGAAACCGGTCTGTGGTTTGGACTCAAGAAGGCTTTAGCAGTTGTTAAAGCAGTTGTAATATTCAGTTGAATATAGTGGATTAAGACCTCGTTGGAGAGAGGCGAAATCACCTTGACGGGTGGACTGGAGTAGTTTGAGATCAAACGAACCAGGATAAAAATAACGTGTTGTCTGCATTTGATTTCAAGTTTTACAATTCAACCCCCCTTCTTGTGTTTTTCACTTCTTCAATTGGCATCAGAGTGCCTGGTTCTGAGCTAAAACACTAACTGTGTCAGTACAAGATCCAGCGTCAGAAAAACACAATGGCAGGAACATATCAACACACCAGCAATGATAACAATGAAGATAGAGACAGATTCAGCGGCAAACCTCCAGTCTTTTATGGAGAGAATTTTGATTACTGGAAAGACAGAATTGAAAGCTTCTTTCTGGCACATGATGCTGATCTGTGGGACATGGTGACAGATGGATACACGCACCCAGTGAATGCAAGTGGTCAGAAGATTGACAGGAAGGCAATGTCTGATCAACAAAAGCGTGACTTCAAAAATCACCACAAGGCCATAACTATTCTTCTCAGCACCATCTCTTACGCTGAATATGAAAAAATATCTAACAGAGACACTGCAAAGAGTATGTTTGACTCTCTCAGAATGACGCATGAAGGCAACATTCAGGTCAAAGAAACTAAAGCTCTTGCGCTCATTCAGAAGTATGAGGCATTCAAAATGGAAGAAAGTGAATCAATTGAAACAATGTTCTCAAGATTTCAAATTCTGGTGGCTGGTCTCAAAGTTCTGGACAAAGGGTATTCTACTGCTAATCATGTCAAGAAGATCATCAGAAGCTTGCCAAAACAGTGGAGGCCAATGGTTACAGCGCTGAAGCTAGCTAAAGATCTCTACAAAATCTCTCTGGAGGAACTTATCAGCTCCCTCAGAAGTCACGAGATAGAGCTAGAAGCTGATGAACCTCAAAAGCAAGGTAAGCCTTTAGCTTTAAAATCTAACAGAAAATCTGACTCCAAAGTTTTGCAGGCTGTTGAAGAAACCTCTGATGGGTCCTCATCAGAAGAAGATGAACTTTCCCTCCTCTCCAGAAGAGTGAACCAACTATAGAAGCAGAGGCAAAGAAAGTTCAGGAATACCAGAAGATCCGATCAGAATGAGTCCTCCTCCAGATACAGAAGGTCAGACTCCTCCTCTGGATACAGAAGATCTGAAGGCTCTTCAGGAAGCAGAAAGCCAAACACCAAGGACATCATCTGCTATGAATGCAACGAGTAAGGACACTACAAGAGTGACTGTCCAAAGCTTCAGAGGGAAAAGCCCAAAAAGAAGTTTGGAAGGGAAAAGAAGAAGAGTCTCATGGCTACATGGGATGACTCTTACTCGTCTAAAGCTGACTCAGAATCAGATGATGAGAGAGCAAACATAGCTCTCATGGCTAACATATCAGAAGACAGTGAAGCTTCTGAATCAGACTCTGAATCAGATACCGAAGAGGTATTCCCTGACTTTGCAATTAATTTTACTAAGGCTGAACTTGCTGAAAGCCTTAACGAAATTCTGGAAAGATATCAGCAGATCAGAGTTAAATTCAGAAACCTGAAAAGGAATCTTGATTCTGACTCTGATAAAACTGAGAGTCTCAAATTGGAAAAATTCTGAGTTGAAAAATAAAATTTCAAAATTAGAAAATCTTTTACAAAACACTCAGAAGGAAACAATTTCTGAAACTCCCAGCAGCGCTGATGAGATCATCAAGGAGTATGATCATAGCTTTCAGAAGTTCCTTTCTAAAAGCATAGATAGAAGCAAAATGGCTTCAATGATCTATGGAGTTAGCAGAAACGGCAGAAAGGGAATAGGATACCAAGGTAAGGTACCTACACCAAAGAATGCCATGGATCTAATTATTTAACGCACTCCTATGAATTCACACTTTGTGTATGGTCACACACATGACATTAAATATACTAGTAGTAATTATTCTGTGAAACCAAAATTCAACCAGAGTTTTGGTAAAGCTAACAAATCAGGACCCAAGAAAATATGGGTACCTAAGGATAAAATAATACATGTTGCAGATATCTTTAGCAGCAAATCAGAAACACCAGTCATGGTACCTGGACTCTGGCTGCTCACGACACATGACGGGAAGAAGGCATATGTTCCAAAGCCTGGAACTTAAGCCTGGAGGCCACATAGGCTTTGGAGGTAATCAGAGGGGAAAGATCATTGGCTCTGGAACAGTAGGTAATGGAAATCTTCCCTCTATAAATAATGTTCTATTAGTAGATGGATTAATGCATAATCTGTTATCCATAAGTCAATTAAGTGATAACGGTTATGATATAATCTTTAATCAAAAATCATGTAAAGCTGTTAGTCAGAAAGATGGGACTATCCTATTTAGTGGAAAGAGGAAAAATAACATTTATAAAATCAAACTTTCTGAACTGAAAAGTCAGAATGTAAAGTGTCTTCTGTCTGTTAACAACGAGCAATGGATTTGGAACAGAAGATTGGGGCATGTTAGTATGAGAAGAATATCTCAGATTAACAAACTCAATCTGGTCAGAGGACTTCCTAATCTAGAGTTCAATTCAGATGCTCTGTGTGAAGCATGTCAGAAAGGCAAGTTTTTAAAACCTGCTTTCAAATCTAAAAACGTTGTTTCCACCTCTAAGCCATTAGAACTTCTGCATATTGACTTATTTGGACCAGTTAAAATTGCTTCAGTCAGTGGCAAGAAGTACGGGTTAGTAATCGTAGATGACTATAGCAGATGGACATGGGTAAAGTTCTTAAGACACAAGGACGAGTCACACTCTGTGTTTGTCACCTTCTGTAACCAAGTTCAGAATGAAAAGGATCTTAGAATCGTTAAAGTCAGAAGTGATCATGGTGGAGAATTTGAAAACAAAGATTTTGAGTCATTCTTTAATGACAGAGGCATTCTGCATGATTTCTCTTGTCCTAGAACTCCCCGGCAAAATGGAGTTGTAGAACGAAAGAACAGAACATTGTAAGAAATGGCCAGAACCATGACCAATGAGACAAATGTTGCTAAGATCTTCTGGGAAGAGGCAATAAATACAGCGTGCTACATTCAGAATAGAATCTCTATAAGACCTATTCTGGAAAAGACTCCATATGAATTGTGGAAGAACAGAAAGCCCAACATTTCATATTTTCATCCCTTTGGATGTACTTGTTTTATTTTAAATACAAAAAATTATTTGAACAAATTTGACTCTAAAGCACAGAAGTGTATTATGTTAGGATACTATGAACGCTCAAGAGGGTACATAGTATACAATACAAAAACACATATTATGGAAGAATCAATCAGTGTTCGTTTTGATGATAAGCTTGACTCTGAAAAGTCAAAGCAGAATGAAGTCTTTGCAGGTATGGAAATTGAATTCACAGGTTCTGAAGACAGGTCATCAGAAGCTCTCAATAAAGACACCCCTTCAACATCAGAAAGAGGCACTGCGAGCAATCCAGCAACATCTGTTGATCAACCTCATAAAAGACTACCCAGAAGCAGCATGGATCACCCAGAAGAAACAATCTTAGGAAGAAAGGAAGATCCAATCAGAATAAGAGCCAGCTTCAGAAATTCTGAAGAATCCCTCATGGGACTTGTTTCTCTGATTGAACCTTCTTCAATTGATGAAGCACTTCTGGACAACGACTGGATTCTAGCAATGCAAGAAGAGCTGAATCAATTCACCAGAAATGACGTGTGGGATCTAGTTCCCAGACCAAAAGGATTCAACGTCATTGGAACAAAATGGGTGTTCAGAAACAAACTGAACGAACAAGGTGAAGTCATCAGAAATAAAGCACGGCTGGTAGCACAAGGTTATAGTCAGCAAGAGGGAATAGACTATACAGAAACCTTTGCTCCAGTCGCCAGGTTAGAATCTATCAGACTTTTAATTTCTTTTGCTGTTAATAAAGGCATCACTCTATATCAGATGGATGTCAAGAGTGCATTCTTAAATGGTTATATAGAAGAAGAGGTTTATGTGCACCAACCCCCTAGTTTTGAAAGTACAAAAAATCCAGAGTATGTTTTCAAACTAAAGAAGTCACTGTATGGTCTGAAACAAGCTCCCAGAGCTTGGTATGAAAGACTAAGTAACTTTCTATTAGAAAAGGAATTCACCAGAGGGAAAGTGGACACAACCTTATTCTGTAAGACAGTTAAGAATGACATCTTAGTGTGTCAGATTTATGTAGACGATATTATATTTGGATCTACTAATCCTTCTCTTGGAAGAAAATTCGCCAAGTGTATGCAGACAGAATTTGAGATGAGCCTCATGGGGGAACTGAAATTCTTTCTGGGAATTCAGATCAATCAAACTCCAGAGGGAACTTACATTCATCAGAGCAAATATGTCAGAGAACTTCTGAAGAAATTTGATCTCTCAGAATGTAAGTCATCAAAGATTCCAATGCATCCCACGTGCATTCTAGAAAGAGAAGAGGTAAGCAAAAAGGTAGAACAGAAGGTCTACAGAGGTATGATTAGTTCTCTTCTTTATCTGACGGCTTCAAGGCCTGATATTTTATTCATTGTATGCATTTGTGCAAGATTCCAATCAGATACTAGAGAATCTCACTTAACAGCTGTTAAGCGAATTTTCAAGTATCTGAAAGATACTACTAATCTGGGTTTATTTTATAGAAAATCTAGTGATTACAGCTTAGTAGGTTACTGTGATGCTGACTTTGCTGGAGACAGAGTAGAGCATAAAAGTACTTCTGGAAGCTGCCAGTTTCTGGGAGAAAATCTGATCTCTTGGTCCAGCAAAAGGCAATCCACAATTGCACTATCAACAGCAGAAGCTGAGTACATAGCAGTAGCAGGATGCAGCACACAAATGCTCTGGATGAAAAGTCAGCTTGAAGACTTCCAGATATTTGAGAGTAACATTCCTATACTCTGTGACAACACTTCTACCATTTGCTTAAGTAAAAACCCAATTTTGCATTCTAGGGCTAAGCATATAGAAATAAAACATCATTTCATTAGGGACTATATTCAGAAAGGCATTTTAAACTTAAAAATTTATTGATACAGGCCATCAATGGGCTGATATCTTCACAAAACCACTTTCTGAAGATAGGTTCAACTTCATTCTGAAACATCTCAGCATGAAGCTCTGCCCAGAGTGAAAATGTTTTAATTTTATATATTAACCTTCAGAATTTGTTTTATTTTACTGTGAACTTCTGATCAATCTTATTTCAGAAATTTAGACATGCAAATTGTATCAGATTCTATTCATAAAGATCTGAGCGTTTCATTTCAAGGATAGATGAGCTGTTCACTAAATCAAATAAGTGTCATCCAGTCATCAGCTAATTCCTGAGGCAGAACATGCGTGCACGCTTCTGAGAAGGCAAAGCGCTGATTGGATGCATTGAGACACATGTCATGGGTAACCATTCCAAATATCTTTCTAAATCCCATAAAATCAGCCAACATTAAATGCTAGTAATCATGATTTAATTCTCTCTCTTAAAATGTTTATATTTTCAAAACACTTTTTGAAACCTATTTAAACGCCTTAAACATCATTCATTCACTTTTTACCGTCACTTACAATCTTCAAAATTTTTCTGTGTTCTTACTGTGTGTTCATCTTCTTTCTCAAAGAAACCCTTTTCAAGCTTTTTCTCAAAAAAAAACCTTGTGTGAACATGGCATCCTCTAGCATTCCATCTGTAGGTTCCCAGCAAGATGCTTCTTCTGAACAGTATCATATCCCTTTCAGAACTCTCCTCACTCCGGTCAAGAACTTGGAAGTTCTGTCATAATTGATAGTTGATTTCAACAGTTTGAAGGAAAATGGCTTTGATTTGTCTGAAGAAATTAAGGCACAAGGATGGGAAAGGTATTTTGATAGGTTGGTGGGTCCAACGTTCCCCATTCTGGTTAAAGAATTCTGGATACATGTGTCTTCATCAACTCATCAGGTTACTTCGTATATCATGGGAAAGAAGATAGTGATTACTGAAGATCACATTGCAAGGCTGATTGGATACAATGGTGGTGGTATCCGCTGTATTGACATGGCAGATAGATGTGCAAACTCTGCCCTAGTTGTAAGAGAGATTTTTACACATGGGGTTCCCAACAGCAAAATCAGAGATTTGAAAGATCAACACAGAATTTGGGCAAAGATTATTCTGGGCTGCTTCAACCACAGGAAGCCTACAAGCTCTCCTGACTATATAAATATAGATCAACAATTTCTGATTTATTTTATTGCAAAGAAGTCCAAGATAAACCTAGCTCATCTTCTGTTCCATCATCTGAAGACAAGCGTCAAGGAAACGAGAGAAGAAGAAAAGACTAAAAGGGATTGGATACCCTTCGGAAGATTGATATCAGATATTCTAACGGAGAATAGGCTGATTGAACACTTGACAGAGGCACAGGAAATAAGCTCTCTAGAACCTTCTGTTGGCAAGCAGCTGAATGCCAAGAATCTGAAAAAGATGAAGCTGATAGAGAATATAAGGAAGGAGCCCAGCGTCACTCCTCATGCTGAAATCACCAGCAGAAGAGTCCCTCTGGACAACTTTCCTATGTTCTCTGAGATTGACTCTAAACTAGTCATTGTTCTCAGATACTTGGATGCTTGTAAAGCTGATGGCACAGATCCTGATCTAAACATTAAAGATCTGCACCAGCAAACACCAGAGGTTACTCTGAAGAAGACTAAGAAGAGAAAGGTTGTATCAGAAGGATCGTCTCAGCAGACCCCGAAGAAGAGAGGTATTCTGTCTTCTGTTAATGTTTTAAATTCATCTGCTGTTCCAACATTTATTCCAACCCCAGCTTCATTTGAAATCCCAATTCCAACCATTGATGATACTGAACCAGAGTTTGACCCTTCTGAGTCATTGACCCTCAGAAGATCCCGTGCCAAACCTCATAATCCAAAACCTACAACCTCAACAGAACCAGAACTTGAAAAAGTTCCTTCTGAAAAAGATCAACACTCTTCCGCTCCCCATACAGAAAATCAAAATCCACAACCAGAAACTCCCCTATCACCACAACCAGAAACTACACACTCATCAGAACCAGAAACTCCACAACCTCCATCTCCACAACCAGAACTTAATCCACCTTCACCTCCACACGAATCATCTCCACAACCTGAGTTTCAACACTCTGAGGCTCAAACCCCTGAACCTCAATCATCTGAATCCTCTGAACCACAACCCTTAGCCATACAATTTCCTGGTGGTACCACTGTTAATATCCCTCAACTACCATCCTCACCAGAAATTACTCCACCTAATTCCCCATCCAGTCCAATAATCATTCCTGATTCTCCTACTCCCTCACCCAAGCAAAATCCAGATAACCACAACAAGACCTTCATTGATCTAACAGTCCTTGAACGCCTTGCTGACATTAAAAATAAAACTGCCATTCCCAAACCCAAACAACCAGATGTTGGTTCTAGCATCTTGAATTTTGAAACAGATATGCAGAAGTGGATTTCTTCTCTAAAACAGGCTAGTCTGGAAGTGATTGATCCTGCTGTTTCAGACCACCTCTGAACACAATTCAGAAGATGGGTATGCGCTGAAACCTTTAAGCTGCAAGGCCAAAGCTATGGACAGGCTCAACAGAACTTCAGCAATCTACTGAAAGAAATTGAAGGTCTACTGAAGGATAAAGTTCTTCTTCTGGACAGTGAGCCTTGGTCTGAAAAGCGTCCAGCTTCAACAGTTCAACCAACAGAAGAACAGACTATTACAGTTGAAGATTTAAGTCAAGAAGAAATTATTGCAGAAAGCTCTCAGAAGCATCCTGATTCTGACACCTCTCAAGCTGCATTGGACAGGCAGACTCTTGAAGAGCTGAAGCAAAATGATCTTCGACTGCAGGAGAGAATGGATGAGAATGATCAACGAATGAAGGAAAGGATGGATGTTCAGGATAGTAAGATTGACTCAGTAGTCAGCATGGTGCATCAGCAGAAGGAAACCACTGATCAGATTAAGAACATGCTAGAAGCTTTGTTCACACGCCTTCCACCCCAACCTTAGATTTTGTTTCTTGATGTTTTCATTGTTTTCTTTACATGTTATTTGTAATATTCTCTGAGCTCTGAACTGAATACAATCGTTTTTCTGCACTGATCGTTTTTAACTTCAATTATTTGCAATTTTTGATTGCTGGCAAAAAGGGGGAGAAAGAATGATATTTTTCAATAACGGATTACTGAGACAAAAGTCTCAAACATTCTAACACTCTGATATACTTGAATGTTTCTTTGTTCTGCATAAGCTTACAGGTACAAGAATCTAATACACTGAAGCTCTGCTCTGGTAAAGGAAAGATCTGATGCTCAAAGAAAGTTCAATAAAGATCTGATGCTAAAGAACTCATGGAATTAAAGGGAAGTAATAAACTCAGGGGGAGTTTTTCTGATCATAACTCTGATACCTCTTTATTCCCTATCTTCTTATCTTTTATACCTTTCTGTTTATCTCTGATACAATTTATTATTTGGTTATCTCTGATATTTTTTCTTTAAAATTCAATTGAAAAAAATCTGGTTTTTGTCATCATCAAAAAGGGGGAGATTGTTAGAACAAAGTTTGAATCTACTACCCTAAGTTAAAGTTTTGATGATAACAAAATGCTAGATTAAATAAATTGTATAATTCATATGAGACATATATGCTACCTAAAAATTATATTGTGCATTTACAGAAACTCTGATGGATATCAGCATAAGAGTATCAACATCAGCATCAGAAGATGACATATCATACATCAGCATCAGAAGATGAAATATCATATGCCAGCATCAGAAGATCAAAGCATGTGCTTACGTTGAAGCTTGATGAACAGATCTGAGCTTAACATACCCTAAACTCTGATCAAGACCAAAACAATATCATCAGCACCTAGAAGCGTCAAAATAAGCCAAAGCCAATAACACGCTGAATTGACAACGGTACTGTGCATTCAAGACACTTTATTACCAATGGCTTTATTCCAAGACAAAGATCTTCTCAATATGGAAAGAACGTAATGGACATTGAAATGGAATAATTGACTACAACGTATCTTTTCCAAAGGCTATATAAACAAGTCAGTGAGAAATGAATTGGTTAATGCTCTACAACTCTTTACATGCCTAAAGCAAATCATCTTCATCCTCACTCATACAGCTTGCTATATATCTTAAATTGCTTACTCTATAGTTATAGCATCCTAGTTTCACATAAGCTTAATTTGTGTATTATCACAGTTGTGATATAAAGTTTTTGTAGAAAACATTCAACACTCATAGTATTCATTTATCTGTAAGAAAGAATTTCCTTGAGAAACTGGTCTGTGGTTTGGACTCAAGAAAGCTTTAGCAGTTGTTAAAGCAGTTGTAATATTCAGTTGAATATAGTGGATTAAGACCTCGTTGGAGAGAGGCGAAATCACCTTGACGGGTGGACTGGAGTAGTTTGAGATCAAACGAACCATGATAAAAATAACGTGTTGTTTGCATTTGATTTCAAGTTTTACAATTCAACCCCCCTTCTTGTGTTTTTCACTTCTTCAGTGGTGTCCCAGGTCCGGGGAGAATACCAGGTCAAAAACGACCAACTCGCTGAATATTGGGCCTTAGTCGAGGAAAGAAAGAAGAGATTCAAATCGATGGACATGCAGCATGTTCCCCGCGAACATAACACTCGCGTGGACGTCCTATCTAAATTAGAAAGCACGAAGAAGAATGGAGGAAACAAGTCAGTGATACAGGAAATCCTTCTTCGACCAAACACCCAGAAACCCCCCTTCAACCTTAGAAGTATTCGCCATATGGGAAGCGACTGCTAGATGACCCCCATACACAACTACCTCATAAAAGGAAAGTTGCCCTCCGACTCTAAAGAAGCCGTCATCGTCAGACGTAGAGCTTGCTCGTACATTTTGGTCGAAGGCTATACATGAGAGGATTAACCATTCCCCTCCTCAAATGTGTCAATCATGTAGCATGGATCGTATCTTTCTTGAAATCCATGAGGGGATTAGCAACCATCATCTAGGAAAAAGATCCCTCATCATGAAAGCTTTAAGAGCAGGATACTATTGGCCCACCATGCAGCACAACACAAAAGAACACATAAAAAGATGCGATAAATGACAATGACATGCAGGAATGCATCTAGCTCCACCTAACAAGCTCAAGTCTCTCTCCTCTCCTTGGCCCTTTTCCTGGTGGGGATTGGACCTCCTCGCCCCATTTATGGTAGGGACCAATCAAAATAAATATTTGATTATAGCGGTCGACTACTTCACAAAATGGATAGAAGCCGAAGCTCTGGCCAAAATTATGGCCTAAAACGTCCTCCGCTTCTACAAAAGAAACATCCTCGCTCGATTTGGAATTCCACAAGAGATAGTCACCGACAACGGTACTCAGTTCACTCATCACGCCTTTCAGGAATTCGTCGCCAAGCTAGGCACCACCTAACACTTCGCCTCTATCGAGCACCCCCAAACAAACAACCAAGTCAAATCTGCGAACAGGGTAATTCTCAGTGGACTTAAGTGAAGATTAGACGAAACCAAGAAGAGGTGGATCAAGGATTTTCAGTGTACTCTAGGGATATCGAACAAAGACACATTCGTCAATCGGAGAAACTCCTTTCCGACTAACCTACGTAATGGATACCGTCATTCCCATAGAGATCAAGGAACCCTCCAGACAAACTGAGGCTCCCCCAGACGAGGAGATGAACGTTGTTTCCCTTCGGGGGGAATTAGATCTAGTAGAAGAAAATAGAACAGGAGCGGCCCTACAAGAGGCCTCGCTCAAACAAAAGATATCCATGCGCTACGATGCCAAAGTCATACGATGAGAGTTCGAGGTTGGCAACCTTGTCTTAAAGAGAAATCACAAAGAATCTCGCAAAGGCAAGCTCACAGCAAACTGGGAAGGCCCTTATCGCATCTACGCAAAAACGGGGACCAGGATGTACTACTTAGAAAACTTACAAGGGGAACAACTTGTTAGATCATGGAACACTGAAAAGTTAAACAATATTACAGTTAAAAAACACTGATCAGTCGGTGATTCTACTATGGCCTTCTGTGATTCTGAAAATCTAATCTACCAAGCTGAAGATGAAGGTGAGGAAGATTGTGAAGTACCAAGGGAACTCGCCAGGTTACTACAACAAGAAGAGAGAACCGTACAGCCCCACAAAGAACCAGTGGACACAATTAACCTAGGTACCGAAGAAGACAAGAGAGAAGTCAAGGTAGGTGCCAATCTGGAACCCAGTGTCAAAGAGCGTTTGATTCAGTTGCTACATGATTATGTTGAGGTCTTTGCCTGGTCGTACGAAGATATTCCAGGACTTGATGCAGATATCGTGGTACATCGTCTACCAACAAAAGAAGACTGCCCACTGGTAAAACAAAAGGTCTTTCTCATGCGACTAGACATGTCAGAGAAGATCTAGGCGGAAGTCATGAAATAATTCAACGTTGGATTCTTGGCCGTCACCTCCTATCCGCAATGGGTCGCCAATGTTGTTCCCGTGCCTAAAAAGGATGGAAAAGTATGAATGTGTGTGAACTACAGAGATTTAAATAGGGCAAGCCCTAAGGATGATTTCCCACTTCCCCACATTGATATTCTAGTTGACAATATGGCACAACATAAAGTGTTTTCCTTCATGGATGGTTTCTTAGGCTACAACCAAATCAAAATGGCGCCTGAGGACATGGAGAAAACAACCTTTGTCACACAGTGGGGCACATTCTGTTACAAGGTTATGCCATTTGGGTTGAAGAACGCGGGGGTAACCTATCAGCATGCCATGGTATCTCTATTTCACGACATGATACATCACGAAATAGAAGTCTATGTGGACGACATGATAGCCAAATCTCAAATAGAAGAAGAGCATCTTGGTCATCTCCATAAATTATTTCAGAGGTTAAAAAAGTATAAGCTAAGGTTAAACCCAGATAAATGCACATTTGGGGTAAGGTCTGGTAAACTCCTAGGCTTTGTCGTCTGCAGTAAAGGTATCGAAGTGGATCCTACCAAAGTGAAAGAAATACAAGAAATTTCTGCTCCTCGTACTGAGAAGGAAGTTAGAGGATTCTTAAGACGGCTAAACTACATTTCCCGGTTCACTTCTCACTTAACAGCCACTTGTGAACCAATCTTTAAATTATTGAAGAAAGATCAAGTAGTCAAATGGAATGATGAATTCCAAACTTCCTTCGACAAGATCAAAGAGTACCTGCAAGAGCCTCTGGTTTTGATGCCACCAGTCGAGGGAAGATCCTTGATCATGTATCTAACCATTTTGGAAAATTCAATGGGGGTGTGTGTTGGGGAAGCATGACGAGTCTGGCCAAAAAGAGCATGCTATTTATTACCTGAGCAAAAAGTTTATTGACTGTGAAACCTGATATTCACTGCTCGAGAAAACTTGTTGCGCTCTCGCCGGCTAAGACAGTATATGTTGACCCATACTACCTTATTGATATCTAAAATGGATCCAATAAAATACATATTCGAGAAGCCTGC